ATAGTATAAGTTTTATATATCATATAATATTTAAATATTAAACATTATTATTTAACATTAATATTAAACTTAAATATTTTTATATAATTTTGCAGGTCTTTTTGCCTTTATTTTTATAGGAAAGTATAGCGCATATACGATAAGCAGACGTGAGAGAAGAGAAGGGAGAATGGGATTGGGACAGCAGCCTAGAGCTCTTATATGTCCTGAGCATGTGCAAAGCCCACTGCTTCACATCTATATCTACTTATTTTTGTTATTATTATTAAATAATTATTGCTGCTATTGGAATGTGTTGTAAACAATGTACACATTAATATAGGTCTAGCTTAGAGGACACTAAGATCTGCGACTATTTCTTGCGTGACTTTCAGAAAACTTAAGTTTTGTTTGTATGTGTTAAGTGTAACTTACAGCTCCTGATTTTGTTATATAAGTCCCATGCAGTTCACAGATAAATGCCAAAAGTAGGCCTAGTCTACCCGAGTAGGCTATAACCGTTAGGCTATGCACAGAATAAGTACCGAATCACGAACAAATGATCTTGAGATGACAAAGGCGAAGGATTCGCAAATCTCTCAGCTCCAGACAACTTGTCAATGATAACGAGCAGGAGATGCTGCTCGGCAACCGCGTCTCTTGAGTGCGACACCTCCGGCTCAATATCGCTCGCCCCCACGCCATCCATCCTGATTTGTTGACAAATGAGTGGGAGAGAGTGTCAATCTGGGCTGTAAGGATAACGTGGCTGCTCATTACCTTGCTCTGTAATTGGCCGCCGTGGCGAAGGACTCCACATTCGTGCGGCGCAGCGGGACGGGGAAAAAAGACGCTCAAGCTTAAATTCGTAGGACATCAGAACTCCTTGTGGGGGCGGAGGGGTAGAACCTGCAACATGAAAGACACGACAGAGGGGGCTGATGAGCCACGGTATATCAGAGACAAATGTCAATAGGAAAAATAATGACTGACTTTGACAGGTAGAAGAGATATTGTAGGGAAAAAGAGCCCCACATCAAGGTTCTTTTAGAAAAGTTTTCGCCTCATCTAGAAGTGGGTTACCGACATGCTCTTTTTTGAGACAAAGGATTGGGTGCATCCATACACCTCAATATGCCAAATTATACTTGGTTGTGTATGTAAGTGTGTGTATGTGTATGCTTGCATATTGGGCCATACTGTGCTTTCAAAAAAAAAATAAAAAATAAAAAAAAATATATATATATATGTGTGTGTGTGTGTGTGTGTGTGTGTGTGTGTATGTGTGTGTCTGTATGTATGTATGTATATGTATATTGTATATGTATATTTATATATATATGATTAATTGATTATCTTTATTATTATATAATTTATAAAATTATATTACTATTGTATGTTATTTTTCATTAAGATTCAAAAAGAGTATATGTTCAGTAAGTACAGGTGTTATGCTTGGGAATAATTTGGGTTCATGAACTGTAAATCAGAGTTTAGGTTCATGTGGTCTGATAACCAGTACACAACCTCACACACATGCTGTTGTGTCATCAGAAAGAGATTTGTCATTTGTCTAATATCTGACCCTTGGGCCATGACTCTAAGCACTGTGTTATTTCAGTGCTTGTCTCTCAAAAATGTTCAAAAGGACAAGAGTATCCTCACAGCTGTTTAAACAGTTAGATCTTTTATATTCTTTTCGAAGGACAGATGTCTTCACTGGGCCGAATCTTGTTTATTTTCCTTCGGGAGGCATTTTAAATTTTTTGAGCTGATGAGAAAGAAAGAACAACAGTAAGTGTGGGTAAATGCCTTGTGCCCTGCTGCTTTCTGGGCTTAGGCGGTGTGTGCTTGGCATAAAGTTTCTCAGACAGTGTACTTGTTGAAATTTGCCAGTTCATACAGCATTGTCAGACTCAGATTGTAAGTGACTTCTTTTCGCTGTTTACAGAGCTGTGCCTGGGTTTCTACAATAATTTTATGTATTAATGCCATTCCCAAAGTCTCTTGACAGGACTTTGTGGAATGTAAAGGAAAAGAGGCAGAAGACTTTTTTGGCAATGCAATGCAATGGCTAGGAAAGGAATGGAAATAGTAAGGAATTTCGGGTTCAGTATGAATGTATGTATGTATGTATGTAGGGCTGTCAAATCAATTAATCGTGATTAATCACATCCAAAAAGGAAGTTTGTGTTTACATAATATATGTGTGTGCTGTGTATATTTACATGTATATATAAATACACACACGTACATGATTATATTTAAGAAAGATTTACACGTATATATGTATTCATAATTATATATGATTTATATTATATATAAATATATATTATATATATTTCTTAACAGACGTGTGTATTTACATATACATATAGATTTTATTGTTTTTCTGTGCCTGTATAATACCAGGAAGTACCAGTTTTCAATTTCTAAAAATTCATTTTAAAATATAATAATCCAATGAGATTTTTGTTTGAACACAGCTATCTCTATCTGTTTGTCTCTCTCTGTCTGTCTGTCTGTATTATACAGGATAAAATCTTCAGTGATGGTGGTAAACATCAGATTTTCAGTATGGCAGTATGTTTATGTTTAGTTTGGGATCATATATTGTATCAATGCCACTCAAAGTCATCAGCAGGCTCTTAGCAGAAAGCTTGAAGAAGTGAGTGTCACGTTCTTGCTATCAATTACCTCAAAGTTGAACATGTGTTGAAGTTATGTGTTAATCTGGTCCGGTCAGACTAAGGGTGAATTTGCCCCTTCTGTTAGATTTGTGATTAGCGAATGTGTGTAGAAGGTAGAAACGTAGAAATACATCTGAGCTCTGTGGCAATTCTTGTTGCTTTATTAAAGAAGATTGTCTTAAGTTCTTAAGATAGTCTTAATGGTCCTTAAGTGTTCCATTGAAATACAGGAGTGCCATTCCATAATATGTTCAGCTTTGGAGGGTTTTCCCAGGAAACAGAGCTGTCAGTGTTTGGAATTCCGGTTCTGATTGGTTGTTTGGATCATCCTGCCAGTTTATCTGGAGTGATTCGGTGATTCACAGTCAGAATGACAGTTTTATCATTTAAGCTATTTGTCGTGTATTCTCCCTGTGCCAGAGACCGCTGTAAGGTGTCTGGTTTTCATTGATGTTGGAAATTACATGGATCACCTCATTCACAGAGAGAGACAGAGGCAAACAAAAGTCAGAAGATATAAAGCTTATCAGTGGGACAGTAACAGCTCCACTGACTGGTGCTAATTTATAACCCGAAAAATGCCTCTGTTTATTGCTGCTTATTAGTACACATGAGCCGTAATAAGCAGCCAGCTAATCTACGGCCAAGGTGAAGGTGTACATCACCTTACCCTGTTGGGTTTGACTTTATTGTCCGGGGTGGTGAATTGAATTTGCCATTGTAAATATTAAGTCTTTTGTTTCTTATCATACAGCAGGTAGTATCTCTAATCCCCATGATCAAACCTGAATGGTAGAGGAGGGGCAAATTATAAATCTGCCCAGACCCTTAAAATGTTATCACTGCTTTGCCTGCTCCCCCTGTATGTGTGCCAAGAGAAGTTGACTCTTGTCTCTATGGCAGTATGGCCTTTATGAAGCAAAGTGATTGGGCGGCCTAATTAAGGGTGCCTGTAAGGGACAAAAAGAGCATATGTATGAGCTACAGCTGGCAGATGCTGTAAAATGTGGCTCATTGTGAGAACTGCAGATGGACTGTATTCAACTGGCTGCCACAGAGATCATAAATCTGGGGAGATTGTCCAGTGTTGTATTGATCTACTGAATGTTCCTCTCATCCCCCCTCTGTCTTTAAGGTTATAGGTTTGCAAGGGCCGTTTTGATATTTAGTTGTGTTTTGAAGAGGATATATTAAGATTTATTTCAATATTTATTGGCCAGCAGGTTTTGCAAAAATGTTCTGTATTATATTATGTTATGTTATGTTATGTTATGTTATGTTATGTTATGTTATGTTATGTTATGTTATGTTATGTTATGTTATGTTATGTTATGTTATGTTATGTTATGTTATGTTATGTTATGTTATGTTTTTTAGCAAATGGCTGCAATATAACAAAGAGTGAAAAATTTAAGGGGGTCTGAATACTTTCCGTACCCACTGTATTATATTATGTTATGTTATGTTATGTTATGTTATGTTATGTTATGTTATATTATTCAATATGTATAAATTGCATTATATAATGTAATATAATATATAATATAATATAATATGTGACATAGGATGATGAAGTTGCATTCTGAAGAGGTGATGTTGCGATAAAGATGTACTTCAATATTTACTATCCAGCAGGTTTTGCACAAAAAGTCCTGTAATAATATAATATAATATAATATAATATAATATAATAGCGTATACACTGAAAAAAAATGATTCATTGAATTTACTAAACATTTTTAAGGTAAGTGGTTGCAATCAATTTATTTTAGCT